CCAGGGAATTTTAAGTAGTCTTCTAAATCATCATCTTTGGCTCGACAATCCTCTGTGTATCTTGGCCTGCTCTAAGATTCGTCGCCATTCTGTTCGATTTTTGGCAACATGTTGCCATCTTCTGATTTTTAATATTCGTAAGTCGGTTTCCACTCCATCTAACCACCAAATTGGCGATTGGCCTTTGCTTCTTTTTCCTATAGGTGTTCCTGTGGTTAGCTTTTTAGCAATTGTATTTTCTGGCATTCGTATTATGTGTCCAGCCCATCTAAGTCGCTGTATTTTATTGAACGTTATGATATCTGGCTCATCAAAGAGCTGATACAATTCAAAATTATATCTTCTGCGCCACTGCCCTTGGTCGTTTACAGCTCCAAATATTTTGCGGAGTATTTTACGCTCAAATATTCCCAAAAGTCTTTCATCTTTCTAAATACCCACATTTTAAAAGCCTCCAACCGGTTCATCACATCGGTCTTTATAGTCCAGGTTTCTATACCATATAGCAGTATGGAGTAAATGTAACATTTTACAAAGTGATATCGAAGCATTAAGCTGTTGCTTAGCAAGGTGCTCATATTAGTAAATTCTGTTCTGGCTTGCTCAATCCTGCTAGGTATCTCTATGTCTGGATCTAAATCTTCAGTTATCCAACTGTCGAGATATCTAAACTTGTGGACCTTTTGGATGTTCTTATTGTTAACTCTTATATTTAATAGCTTATTTCGTGTTCTACTAATCACCATTACCGTCGTCTTGTCTATATTAATCTTTAAGCCCAGTTGTTCTCCTTTAATGTTTATTTTATCTATTAGTCGTTGTAGCGCTTCTTGGCTATCAGTTATTATGACTGTATCATCAGCATACCAAAGATTACTAATAGTCTGTCCGTTGATTTTAAATCCTTCTTCAATGTCACTTAAGGCTCTATCGAAAATCGTTTCAAAGTAAAGATTAAAAAGGTGGGGTGACAGAACACAACCCTGTCGTACACCTTTTTGGATTGAGAAATATGGGGCAGATTACAGTCCTACTCTCACAGATGCCACTTGATTTATATAAAGGTTGCTCTCAAATCAACACCCTAATTACTATAGACATGTTGTGTATTATAGACACAAGTGTGAGATCTGGATTATGCAATCTGCTTAAAATATTCTATATAATTTTATATTTCATCAGTTGATTTCCTATAGTAGTGTCAGTTAGAGCTTTGGTCAATGCTTAGTTTCATAGAATTTTGAAATGTGCAGATCCCTTCTCCATGATTGTGACTGCCCATCCAAGCTGTCATAAGTTATGGCAGTTAATAGGACCCCGTTAAGACGGCCCCCGTTAAGAATAGGAGCCATTCTCTCTCCTGATGCCGACCATAATGTAGCTTCGCCTATTTTAAAAGTTTTAAAGTGTTTGTCCTTGTGTAGTGTAGTGTTATGCACAATTTTATGTTTATGACATTCTCAATATTTTGTTGGATAGACCCCTGAAGATGCTCTAGGGAGCGAAAGTACTTGGGCAAGATTTAATTAATAAAACTGTGCTTGATATCTGCCTTACATTTGATCAAAGTTCATTTATTCGAGCATTCAATCTTGTATCAATTTTTTTATAGTTTTGCCATAATCAAAGAAAGCTAGAGGTTTGGCGCATTACTAAATCTTGACTGAAAATTACACATATCAATAATTTAAATATATTTTTATATTCATTTATACCTTCCTTTAGCTTTCTAATTATGCGTAACGGGCTTTAATATCGACAAATATTATTGTAGCATTTAGACTGTGTGCAAAAAAACCTTTTAAAAGTTAGAATTAATCCCTTTCTGAAAGATAGAGCGATTATATGCCATAAGCTAACTGTTGTCTTCAATATTTTATTATTTTAAATTGTACTTACCCCTTACTGCAGAATTGGGATATTAGAAACTTTGAGCCGCATTAAATTCTTTATAATCCAAAAGGAATTATTAATTAGTGTATGAGTGCTACTTTAGCTGCATTTCTCTATAAAAGTTTTAATATAAAAACCGGTAGCTATTTACATCAAAGAGGACCAATTTTTATTTAAAAATAGTTCTTGCAAGTTGAATCCTGTGTAGGTGTTCTTCTTCTTCAAGTGCCCTGTTCGTTGCGAACGTTGGCTATTAACGTGGCAATTTTGATCTTGTTTGCGGCGCTTCTGAATAGTTCGACCGATGTGAGCCCGAACCACTTCCGCAGATTTTGGAGTTGCAACTCCTTATACATTTTAAAATGTTACGAGTGATCAAATGACTCATAATTTACTTTTTAGACAAGGCGAAAAGCTCGGGTTCGTTTGGAAAAGTATTTCCATGTGATTTCTTTGCATAATCACTTTCATGAGATGCCCCAAATTAAGGTTTAAGAGATCGCATATATGGAAGGTAGTTCAATTGTTTTTAAACATTTTTTTAAAATAAACTCTTATAATCAATTTTTTCGACCAAGATAATATTTTTTTATTTTTTGGATCAGTCTCGTTTGAACCTTCGAGTTGGAAACAAGTATCGAAGAAGTAATTGTGTATAATTATTTTACCTTATTGTAATTAGTACTTATAATTAGTATTAGCCATTCGTTATCAAGAAATAACAATAACCAAAAAAAGTGTTTGTATTCAATGTTAGTATAATTATTCACCAAGGAACTACTACAAATTTAATTACTACATCTATCAACATAAATATAAATAAAATAGTCCGGTATATAAACAAAATATGCCGGAGTGTCGTTATAATTCCTAATTGTAAATAGTGGAAAACTATACATAACCAACCAGATAACCAAGAACCAACAAGTGATCAATGCATTGAGGACATAAATTCAGCCATAAAAAAATCCTTCCCAGCCCAGACTCCTTCATCTGGAAGAAATCGAAATGATAGTTACTCACTAGATAAACAGCAGAAAAAAATTAAAACACGCAACAACGATCTACATACGAATTTACCAAACTTTCAAATAGAGAAACCAAACATTACTAAATCTAGTAGGTAAAGCAAGTTATCAAAGAGGCTTTAAAATCAACATTTCAAAGACAAAATGGATGGCAGTTGGAAAGATCAATATAGATCAAGGTCTGATTTCTCTTAATGGAGATTTCTGTAAATGTAATTTCTGTTTTTCTAAAAACAACAATGCTAAACAAGTTAGGAGCATTTGAATTGTGCTGCTATAGACGAATCCTAAAGATATCGTGGGTTTCGTACACTTCCAATGAAGATGTTCTTCAAATGATCAATTCAGAACGTCTGCTCCACAGTAGAATTATTTCGCGCAGCAGCCGACAGAGAAAGGTTTCAGGAAATTGTAAACATGGTGACGGGCAACGTCTGAATACGGACACGGCTCCCAAAGAAGAAGAAGGTAGTATGTATCTGCTTAGGATGTGCACGGAGTAGGGTGGTATTGCTCTGCGTGTGTGTTATTTACAAATGTTCATCAAAATAATGTTACAGAACCGACGCAATATGGATAGCCCAAGACGAATATAGTCTGCATAGACTGGTTCACAGATTTAACATAAAAGCAACAGAATTCAATATGACAATCTCATTTAGGAAAACTAAAACAAGAATACAATAATAAACAAGTAATGGAACTAAATACCTGGAAATTACACTGTTAGCTATGGAGACCTAGTTAATGAAGTGAGAGATCAAGTACAAACAGTTAGACTGGCAGGATGCCTTAAACACACTTTATGATGAAACAGTCTCATTAACACTGAGATGAAGTCAAGAATTTATAAAACCAGTGTAAGAGCAATAATGACATACTCCTATGAATCAAGACCCGAAACAGCCACAACGCAAAGGCTACTGGAAACTGCAGAGATAAGAGTACTAAGAAGAATTACAGGAAATACGTTGAGAAATCGACAGTGAAGACATTAGAAGAAAATGTAACGTATAGTGTATAAATGAATAGACAGAAAATAAAACAAAAATAATGAAATAACCACATAAGCTGACCGGAGAACACCCGTGCCGTCAAAATAGCAAGAGATATGTCATTAATCGACAGAAGAAATATCGGACGACCGCGCAAAAGATGGTGTGACAACCTTCCGTAGAGGTATTAATCTGCCATAGCAATAGGCAGAATTGCTTATAAAGAGGAAGACATAGAAGAAGATGTGAACATCGAATATATTTTCTATTTAATTTGTAGTAGAGCTCAACTTTTTTTATTATTTTTCTTGTGTAGGTACGGGTATATTAAGTAAATAAATAATTTTTCTTTAGGACGTAGAATACATATTCTGTTGTTTATGAGTTTAAAGTTAGAAACTAAGTTATTTATATATTTTTTTACTGATATCATTCTCTTAATACTTTATTAAATATTTGAGAATAAATTTTATAATGCACTAGTACGCAAATGGTAAAAAAATAAACAGAAAATATAAGGAAATGACCATTAACTATATGACAGTCGCCAATTAGATATTGGAAGCAGTGACATTTTGATATTGGATATTCGAAGTGATGTTTGAAATATCTTTTTTAACACATTGTTTTAGCTCTTCTTCTCTTTTATCGATATTGTCTGATCTGTTTACATAGACTTTACTTTTTAATTAACCCCACAACGAAAAGTGTAAGAAGGGTAAATCCGGAGAATGAAGTAGCCATACCATAAATTCTCTTCTAGCTATGCATCGAATTTGAAATATTTCTATGTATTGCTATTTTTTTGGTAGATATTTATTATCATTTCGTTTGTATTTAGTGTACACCTTAACGGTACGACCAACTTTAAAGATTTCCATTATTTTATGAAACTAAAATGTTCCTTGTAATATTTAATATTTATATTGTTTATTCTTTTACCTGTATTTTATTATAAAAAAAGGTTTTATACGATTTAAAGTTAAATAATAGGACATTAAGTTAAATACGTAAAAATAGTTTTCTGTCAAATTGACTTTTTCAATACTTCTCTCAAATATATTTATGTCAAGCAATTTGTATTATTTTTTTTTATGTCAGAAAAATGTATTTGTATATTAGATATTTTATTATTTTAAATCAATCGTAAATTATGGCGCCCCGTAAAAAACTTCCACTTCCGTTTTGTATTCATCCCTTTGGAATTATGCTAATTATTGTTGGTTGTATTGTGGCTGTGTATGTTTCTAATATAGCTTTGGCGGCGGCAAAGGAAGCCGCTGATGCAGCAGAAAGTGAAAATGAGGGCTCGGAAGGTAAGAATAATAAATCTCATTATGTTATTTTAGGATTTCTCTATAACAGTTGCATGTCATTTTAAATTATTTATTTTTCTGTCTCTGATATTTTGCTTTATTGCTTTCCCCAGCTTTCTTTTTCTTTTTTAGTTTGGTAGAGTTGGTTCTATTTAGTTTATGTCATGGTATATTATTTTTTCATTCTTCGTTCCTTGTGTTGATTATTACTTGTATTTGAGTTTTAATTAATTCAAATAAGGAAAAATCTTCTAAGGACTCTCCTCATATTTTTCTTGTGTTTCGATCTCGTTATTCAAGCGTTACAATAGCATTAGTCATTCTGAAACTGTTTTGTTGTGGCATGCTTAGGTTATGTATGATCTTGTAGACAAGTAGCTACGTTATTATCTTAAAAATGCTGAGGGTGATTGTGTTTCATCATATTAGTATTAAATTCTATTTTTTTGTGTTGTTGTGTAGTTAATTATATTTAGATAATATATTTCTGAACTTCTATTGATCCTTTTAATGTTAGCAACTTTTTCTTATTGACTTCTTATTGCTATATTTGTAACCAGATTCTGCAGCATTTAGTTGATGAATTTGCAATACATTTTTCTTTTTTCGGTAAGTAAAGGCTGCTTCTTTAATTTTTTTATTTTTGGTGTGTGTTAACCTCAATACCATTAATACATCTTTCCATTGTATCGTGTTTTCATTGTACCAAGCATGTCTACATATCTGTGACCCAAATAGAGCCTTATGTTAGAGCCAGAGTCTACGAAATCCTTTAGTTGATCCTTTATTGAAAATAAAGAAGGATTACCAAATGTTTTGGGCAAAAAAGTATCTTTTATGTCCTCTAGAATTGAGATAGTTTAAAAGAATCAAAGTTTTTTTTAATATAAGACATTTTAACATATTTCAACGCTTCAAATATGGCGAATGATTCCGCCTAGAAAATTGTAAACTCATTGTAAAGTTTTTCCTTTAATTCAGAACCTGCTGAAAAATAAGCACCACTAATCTCTTCTGTCGATTTAGATGCATCTGTGTATATAATTCATATAACTAAAAGAAATGAAGGCATGGAGCGAATGATAGTTGAAGGTAACTTAGCAGGTAAAACATCCAGAGGAAGATCTCCAGTTTGGTGGTCGGACCAAATAAAGTAGATGACTGGTTACTTATTCTCCAAAACAAAACAACATGCACAGAAGAGGGATAATTAGACAAAAATATTAAAAAATTATATGACGCCACTACATCCTTACGAAGAAGAAAAAATTGAGGAGGAGTGTGTAAATAACTGGGAAATTACCGTTTTAACAGATCCAAGAACATTATTGTCTATTTTATTGATTTCACTGTATATGTGGGTATTAGTCTGTGACTGTGAATGATGAAACCTTAGACATTATAGTAGAATGAGTTGCGATTATAAATTTGCACAAATATTGTATAAGTCAAGAAGAAATTCTAATACCAACCAGATATAAAAAGAAGCAATTGATCGAGGAAGAAATTTTAGATTTAATGGAAGAAAGACGTCAATATAAGATCAAAGATAATCAGATGTACAAAAAAGTGGATGAGCAAATAAAATACAGAATTAAAAAAGCCAAAGAACAATGGTTAAAAGAACAATGCGCAGAAATATAAGAATACCAGAAAAGACATGATAGTTTTAACACACATAAAAAATGAAAGATGCAAATGGGAAACCTATGTTGAATGTTAACGACAAATTAGAGATATTGACAAAACACATCAACGAACTGTTCAAAGACAATAAAACAAAACAGATGGATGTGGAAATAGAAGAGGATATGGTTTTAAAGATATTAAAAGAGGAAATTAAAATGGCATTTAAAAACAGCAAAAATGGTATAGCATTAGGTCCACACCAATATCTATAGAAATCTTAAAATGCATGAATAATGAAACCTTAGAATTTAAAGTAGACTTATTTAACTCAGTATACAAAACAGGACACATACCGGAACAATGGTTACTCTACACCTTTTGTGCTATCCCTAGAAATACAAACGCTAAATATTGTAGTGAATACAGAACAATATAACTAATAAGTCACATTCTCAAACTATTCCTGAAATAATAAATGGTCGTATAAACATTGGTATAGTTGATATTGGCAGGTAAAATTGATAGTCAGTTTGGGTTTAGAAATGGACTAGGAACCAGAGAAACGTTATTTGCTTTTAATATGTTAGCTCAAAGATGCATGGATATAAATGTTGATTTGCATATTTGTAACGTTGATTTTAAAAAAGTATTTGACAAAGTAAGACATGAAAAATTAGTCCAAATTTTAAAGACAAAAAACATAGATATTGAAACTTACGAATAATAACCAACCTCTACTGGAATCAAAGAGCACCAATCGTAATAGATAACGAACCCAGTCCAGAAATTGAAATCAGAAGAGGAGTTAGGCAGGAATGTATTATGTCCCCAAAGTGAAGGAATAATAATTAACGGAAAATCTATTAACAACATAAGATATGCAGATGATACCGTGATTATGGCAAGCTCTGCTGAACAACTCCAATTACTGCTGAACAAAACATTTTCTGTGAAAATATGGACTAAAAATAAACATAAAAAAGACCAAATACATGACAAGTACATAAAAAACAAATATACCAACAAACATACATTTGGGACATGTACTGATAGATAGGGTTAATAAATACAAATAACTAGGAACCTGGATTTTATACAAGAATGATCAAACAACCGAAATAAGAGATAGAATAGAAATAGCAAGAAATGCGTTTGCAAAAATAAAAACCATTCTTAGCAACAAAGATCTTAGATTAGAACTGAGAGTAAGAGCACTGAGATGCTACGTGTTTTCGATACTGCAATATGGACTTAAAAGCTGGACATTGAAGCAAGAACACATAAATAAGTTACAGTCCTTTAAAATGTGGTATTACAGGAAAATGCTTAGAATAGCATGGACACAGAAATAAACTAACATGGAAGTATTGCGAGAAATGGGCAAAGAATGCGAAATAATAAACACAATAAAAATAAGAAAGTTACAGTATTTGGGATACGCAATGAGGGGACAGCGATATGAACTGCTTAAGCTGACATTACAGGACAAGATAAGAGAAGGAAGGAATATAGGAAGAAGGAAAGTGTCATGGCTGTGGAATTTAAGGGACTAGTTTAAATACAGTTCTATAGAAATCTTCAGAGCAGCACAAAGTTTTTGTCTACCATGGCCAAATGCTTTTAAAAATTAGGATTGTTTCGTATAGCAGTCCACAAAGGGGAGATGGCTGTTGAATTCCAATATTTGTAAGTGAGATCTGATTATTTAAGCAAATCTATACAGGAAACTAATTTGGGGTTTGCTTACTGGATTTTAAGTACCCATTTTTCGCTTAATAAATTTCTTTTAATCCCAAGAGTAGGCTCAAAAGCTCTAAAATGTAGATGTTGTAAAAGTGTGAATCTTACACCACCTAAACAGAGCCCCAAGGCGGAATTTTAAAAAATGTCAATTTATCTTAGATTTTTGGACGCAGAACCATAGAGAGTAGCACCCTAATTTATAATATGTCGTATATAAGCTATATAAAACAATAAGGAAGTTTCAATATAGCAACCCTACCACACTATAGTTATCATCAAAAGAAAAAGCCACTTGTGTTATTATAAACAGAATAAAAGTGTTTATATTATTAATCTCAGTAAGGCAAAAAATCAAAAATTTTTTTCGGTGGTATATCATATATATGTGGTGAAACAAAAAATGCTACAAAATAATGTCGTGTGGTAAACCTTACACCCTATAGTATAATTATAATATTATTCCAGTTTTCTGTTCTAAGAGACAAAAATGCCTCTAAAAAGTCATACAAACAAGCTAAAGTTTGCCGATAATGTCAATTTTGGGAAGCCATGAATATGGAAAAAAGTTTATAGCTTCCTCTCCCAGGCTTTCCTTCAAAAATTCCTTGTAAGAGAAAAACGGATAAAATCGATTTAGTTGAGATAATGTTTAACAAAAATTATAATTAGCACTTTTTGTGTAAAATAAACCGTTCTTTCAGACACATAGCTTCAAGCGACAGACGATTTCGAATGTCAGTTACGTGGGCGAAATCAAGTTTAAATAAAATTTGTATCAACTTGATTGTCAAAATTTGATATCTTTTGTCCAATATTGATTCGATACTGGACACTAGGTCAGAGTGACCTATTGACAAAAATTAAAACAAGTTTTAAATCGTGAAGAGTTTAGCTTTCGTATTTAATTTTCGCAATTTGTCTAAAATAACGCCAGTCGCTATAAAGGTGTCAACATTGTGCGGATTTTGTCATTTTTTACAATTCTTATGAAATCACTAAAATCTATCATTTTCACTGGGCGGCCACTATTGAGTTTCCACTGCTAAAGCCTAATTTTGGATCTTAAACTATCTAACAAACTTAAAACAGCTTTTGGACGATTACACGAATCCATTTTGTTAACTATACAACTTCAGCTATACAATATATCCATAACCGTATTCGTTAAGCATTTTCCGTGACGTGTGATCGTTTGTAATGCTAAACTTTAAATTCAGTGTTTTTAAGGCATATTTCAAACACGCATAATATTTGTTGTTGGGGCTTAAAATCAAAATTTAAAGTTATAGGCTTAAAAGATTAGGCGATAACAATGGAAATTCCACAGCGACCGGTCAATGGTGGTCAAACATTTTAATGATCCCATGAAAATAACAAAAAATGGCAAAAATCGCACAAAGTTTATTTATTCAACAGATTTATGGAATATGTCTTCATTTGCGGTGAAATACAACAATTGCATAAGAAAGCTGCATTCAATACTTTTAAATTTCATTTTGATTTTTGTCTAATTGATGGATTTGTCCGTTACTTGATGAAAAAATGTAACAAAACTTCCACAAAATTTACTATTAAATCGTATCTCGACAGCGGTTTCGGCAGAGTATCTTTCACAATTGATCTATTTT